ATTTTACTTTCTTCTGCATATTTATTTTTATTAAAATATGCCCCATTTTAAGAAGAGGGAAAAAAAATGCCTGATTAGTATGGCTCTTCTACAGTGACATAGATAATTGCTCGTAATGTAGCTTCTCCCTCATTCTCAGTCATTGAATAAAAAAATAAAACAAAAGCTGCTTACATATTCAAAGTTTGCAGTTTTCTTATTACAGCATGGATATTACAGCATGGAGTTGTTTAATTCTTTATAAAGGTGTCAGAAAATAGTTGCCATACATACTTCCAAAATGGACTACACTGAAATTTCACAGATCTTGATCCAGGTAGTCAATACCAAAGTTTTTATCAAACTGGACACTGGCACCTTTGCTAAGTCTGATCCCTAACTCTAGACTAACTGAACTCCCAGCCCTGGCCCACAGCCATGATTTTATGGTGGTAAATGACCGACTAAGTTTGGGGAAACTGCTCTAGATTAACAGCAGCTATAGAAACTAAACTTGTCATTTTTTTGTTACCTATAGTTCATTCACACAGGAAATTAGCTTCACCATCAGCAAGAATTTGTGGCAGGGAAACTTCAGCCCCATGCACATCTTGTGTGCGAAGAGCCAGGACCAGCAGCTGCATGGCCAGATTTGTACCCTGTACAAATCAATGACTGGTGCTGACACGGTTGTCATGAAACCACTCATATGAATGGTTACATGCAATTAGGGCCACTAACTGGCCCTGGACACAGTTCGCAACCAGGACTGGCAGTTCTGCCACCATCTAATTGTCTAGTGTGTATATGGCCAGAGCACATGCATTTAGCCACATCTGAATGCAGCATCCTTTTCACCCATATAACTGAGGCCTTAATGTACTTGGTACATTGTTGAAACAAGCCCTTTTAAAAAAGCCGGCTGAAAAGTTCCGAGGTTGAATACAAATTCACATTGTCATCTGTTTCTTTGAATGCTGAGAGGCACCTCTAGACCAATCACTGCAATGGCATTCTTCCTGCTGTGTAGTTTTACACATCTAAAAGACAATTCCTTTGCTTATTCAGGCTAAAAGTTCCCTGCATCCGGCCTGTATATGAGAATCTGTCACATTTGGCATCTGTACAGGAAGTATGTGAACCTGTCACGGCAAGCAGTCTCAAAGGGCGCACTGCTTTGCAGCAGCTAATTAACCTTAGAAAATAATTACACAAATATGCAAATTTTGTTTAGATAATTCCATGTGTTATCAGCGCAGGTAGTCCATCATAAATGCAGACCTTGGAGTGCCGAGATGTTGGAATCTGCTCCAGTCGATAAGGCTTTGTCTCCTGCATTAGTTAAACTTGGTATTTAACAATTAATGACTGTAATATTACATTAGTAAATTCAAATTGTTGTCCTTTAGAGGCTGCCGAGCATAACCATATATTCTCACTACTAATCTATGTATGGTAATGTCAGAAATGTAATAACTTTGTGCATTCTTTACAACCTTTAAAGGAAAAATAAACATTTAAGAAATATTATAGATTGCATTTATTAAGGCTGTACTTTTACAACAAAATATGTGTTTACTTTGGCCTGTACAATGTTTCCAATATTTAATTGAAATTATGTAATTTATAAGGAACAGCCATGTTGTTTTCTTTTCTCCAAAGACCACATGGTATATGTTGATGCACTGGATTATTCAATATTCAACAGTAGAATTTTTTTAAAAATTATTATTTATGTGTCATCAGCACTAATTCTTTTTTTAGGGAAGGGGAGAGGAAAGAAGTTAAAACTGTGAAAATTAAAGACAGAATTTTAATATATTTGACTTTTTTCCCCCCATATAAGTCATTTGGTCCCTTTGTGGCTGGACGTACAGTGTACGTCTCCCGTCACGAAGGGGTTAAACCACTTGTGTTTTTATATTTGTGTTTTAATATTGGTATGCTTGTGTGTATTTTGCAGTGGGTAGCTGTGCTTACAGTATTAGAGAATGCCTCCTGGAGTTCCTGTGGACTAGTGTTTCTGGGTGTTGGTTTCTGTTGAGTCGTTTTAATGTGAAAGCAATAGAGGACCATTGTCCTTACAGTACTATTAAAAAAAAAAAATCTGTAATAAATTTACTATTTGCTTTTCTCTATTGTTCCATTTTTGACTTTTAAAAGTCCTTGTTTGCATTGCAGACATGGCCATCTATTGCATGCATAGTGGTATGACCCAGTAGAGGGTCCACTTTGATGTCATAGTTTGTTAATATTTATGCTCAGATATGATCATTCCAGCTTGAGCACAAATATATAAAAAAAAACCTTTGTATTGAATCAATTTACTAATAAACATTGGCTCTGCTGCAAATTTTTATGCAATTTTCTAATAAGATATTCATAGCAAGAGATTAAGCTCTGCAAAATAAGAAGTGCCATCATGCGTCTTTAGTCTGCGCCTCTTCCGATAGTGGAGACCAGTGATTGAGCGCTGCAGTCTGTGTCCACGCCAAAAGGTCCCTTAGTTGTAATGTCATCATGCCTTGGCCTTTCATGGAGCCTAAGGACTCTGCCGTTTGACAGCTAAAGGAATGTGTCCACATCACATAGACAAGACATAGACACCTAAAGAGGTACCCTCCCACTTTTGCGTAGCAAGAGGAGAAGAGTCATAGTAAGTATTTTGGACTCTTAAATTAGGTCTTTTTCAATGGACTGCAGCAATCAGAGGGGGGGGGGGGATATTGACTGCGGAAAGAGGGGGCTTGTCCAGAGTGGGGCTTTAACTCTCTGACTAAGCTAACCCTAAAGGTTTAGTGTATGTTTGATTGCCGTAAAACTATAAACTACTTTAGTCTATAAACGTCTTTGTCTGCAGAGACAAAAATTATTTGTTATGTGTGCTCTGTAAAGTGCTGCATAATATGTTGCTACTATATTAATCAGAAAATAAAATTGGCTGTGTATTTTACTTAGCACAGTGTTTACTCTGTTGCTTCTGTGTTAAGTGGTAGATGTTTTACGAACATCAAACAAACACCTGGATCCTAAAGAATATATACAATGCCTATGCCAATGTGTTGAACATGTTCTCCCTGCTGCATGCTGTGGTTCCTCCAGCAGGCTGGTAGATCCTGTAGAGACTTATGAGCCAACGGAAGAAACCACAGCATACCTTGAAGTATGGAATAAATGCAGTGGCTTTGTAGCAGCGACTAGTAGGGCCACTAGAAGAACCACGATTGCAAAAAAGATTGTATTCTGATATCAATGTATGCAATTAAAATGTATATAAGAGTAATATTAAGTGAATTGATAAACAACCTAATCCTTGCAGAGCTCCTGGAGATGGAGTTGAATGTCAACTGCTGTAGTAGAAAAATAGAGATCCACCATCACTCTAAATGCAAAAAGTAAGCATACAAATGGTGAAACAATTATACTCACCACAGAAGTGTAACGTAAAAAAGGTATCAGCCTGTTATCAGGAGAACGGTGATAAAGTGTTGAATATTGTTAATGATGACAGTGAAATGAAGATAAAGTACCTGACAATCTATGTGAAGGTGCCGATTCCGGAAAGAAAAATGCTGTAGTGTTGGCTCTCTGTACTGCAGGAGAGCTTCCGTGCTGGGTTAGAGTCCAGTTAAAGCAGTGGAGTCAAGTAGTTAAACCATGCTCATGGCCAGTGAGGTGTAGATGTAGAGCATAGGAGCTGTGCATGTGCATGCAGGCACTAAATAAGTGTCCTGTTGTGATTGACAGCCTGGACACTTGTTCAGTACTTGTTCAGTACACTTTTTCAGTACTTGTTCAGTACTTTGTACATGCATGACTCCTCTGCTTCACATCTCCACCTTGCTGGCCACGGTTGTGGTTTAACTGCTTGACTCCACCACTTTTCCTGGACTCTAACCCAGCACGCAAGCTCTGCCGCAGTACAGAGGGCCAACACTACAGCATTCTCCTTATGAGATCAGCACATCAAGGACTGGCAGGTACTATGTCTACATTTTACTACCAGTATTTACAGTATGCAACATTGTATCGTAGTTCTCGTGCTAACAGACTGATACATTACTTTTTTAACTTTACTATACACGCCTGCAAGCTCAGCACAGTAGTTTTACCATATATATGTTTAATTAAAGTGCATATATACTCCAAACCAAAAATGTAATACATGTCAGCATACCAGCTCTTGTATGTAGTTGCTGCATCACTTTTCTTTTTCCAGGCTTTTTTTTTTACCGTAATAATCCTATGAATAACACATCTCTTGTCCTTGGGTGGCTATGCTCACTCCTCCTCTCTCCCCTTGTGTCTGTGGAGGGAGCCATGGTTGTCACCCAGGCTGCTTTCCTGACTGCGACTACAATAGATCTTGTATATTCATCTACATTAGATGGGAGAGGGGAATTGGTAGTTTACAGAAGACCACTTGAAAGCAAGATAAGAATGTTCTGTGCTTTCTGTTCGCAGGAAGTGACAAGGACACTGTATTTCTGGCAAGATCAACAGGTGTTTTCTGCACTTTTTGAAAATGTTCTTAGCCTGAAAAATGAAAACATATGCAGCTACCATATCTAGAAACTAGTTAGCTATAATATATAATTGTGTATGTGTGTTTTAGATATCCTTTTATACATTAATTGTAAAGATTTAGCATATTAATTCATATAATGTTTTTTTCTTAACATAGTTCATGCTATCTAACCTAAGTGTCGGTGACACAGGTTGGGGCAAACTATAACACTGCCAGGGGTGCTTACATTGGTTTTGATTAAAAATAATACTGCTGCTACATCTGCTCAAGCACTCATTGTTTGTTTTCTGTCAACATATGTTGCTTTAATTTATCGTTGACTGCTTGGTCTTCTTATAATGTACATGTAAAGAAAAATAAAGGTATAGAAAAGTGTACAAGAAAAAAACAAATCTTAAAAAACACATGTATGCATACACAAGTATTGTGAAATCTGTAGTGTATGATGTGTACTCTTAAATAATCTGTACTCATAGGTTTTCTATCATTGCAGGAAAATGGCACCCCAGAGGAACATGCATTATATGTGTGGGATAACTTCATTTCAAAAGCATCTGCAGAAAATGTGTTTTTTGTGGCACACAGCTACGGTGGACTTGCATTTGTGGAGCTGGTATGTCATTATTAAAATCTGAACTTTTTTTGAGGGGGGATTTTATATAGATAAGTACTTAAAGAGATTTGTGTGTTGTAACCAATTTATTAAAACAATTAGAGCAACATAGAAATGGGGAGCAAAATCTGATTTGTTGCTACTTTGAAAGCTGTACTACAAAAAAATGCCAGACAAGGGGCAAAAGACTAGTTGTGAATATTGCCTGTATGGTCCTTGCAGCTGATATTTTCCCAGGACTGGCTTACCATGGCTCATTCCAGAATTTGTTTGTGTGTGGAGGCAGCCAACTTGATAGCGGCAAAAAACATTGCTTCCTAATGTCAGGAAAAAAACCCTGATGGGTGGTGATCTGATGAACTAATGTATGGGGAACTGATAACTAGTGGGAGCAATGGCTAACAGACAGCAAGAGGTAAAGGTGCCACAAACCTAAAGACAGCAGCGCTGAAGGTGAAGATGCGCCAAAAGGCATCAGGAGAAGGGAAGAAAGCAACTAAATGAATGAAGGCGAAACAAGGAGATACTTCTACTGCGGGTCCTCAAGTACTTATTCATTTTCAGCAGGTCCTTAGAAGAGTGAGCAGCACAATAGTGACACAACCAACTGTCAGTGCTCAGAAATGCATTCCAGAGGAAAGCAGTCATCAGAAGCAGGTGTGGGTGACATATGCCTTAGATCTGAGGTAAGCAACCCTGAAAAGGTGGAGATCTACTTGAACAACATGGAAAAGATCAAAGATCACCATTGCGCAGCATGCTTTTATTTTTTAAATAGATAACTAAGCGAGGGAAGGGGGTCTGTAAGGAATGTCCATGTAGCTGGCAGCACTTTCCAGGGGCTGCAGCTCAACTATTCTGTACCGTTATCCTGGGACTATTCTCTGCGGCTTTGAACAGACGCAATGGTACAATATATCACCCTTAGCCTCCTGGCTCTTGCTTTTTATCTTTCTGGCCATGACCAAGAAGAACATGGGGCATATCGGCGCCATCTTTGATCTTCCACTCAGGTGCTGCGACATCCTCCATATTATTCCTGGTCGTGACCAGAAAGATAAAAAGCAAGAGCCAGGAGCCGAAGGGCTTGCACCACTGCGACCGCTGAAAGATGCAGAGAATAGTCCCAGGATAACGTTACAGGATAGTAGAATGGGAGCTATGCAGAGGCAAGCGAGTGTGAGCTAAGCTTAGGGAAGGGAGTGTGTGCCTTGAACGCTTTGCCAGAACTCTGGCCAAAGAGGTCCAGGGTAAGTCATGGCATGGATGTTTGGCTATCCCATCAAGCCTTGAACTGTCCCCCTCGGCATCAGGCTCTCCTGCAGACTGGGACTCTGATGCCCCTGCTGAATTCACACAGTCCTTGGACTATGGAGCAGTACCCAAGTCTTGTCTACCACCATCGGGCCTACTGAGGGCTCTGAGCCTACACTTGCTGATGTGCTTATCCCAGTTAATTAGGGTAACGCGTCTCTATCGGTGCTGAAATCTCAATTACTTGGCATTAAAAAGGATATGTCACTATTATTCCACAATTTTAAAAGATAAGGCAGAGAACTGCAGCTTTGGAGGGAACAGTGGGTGAGCTGGAAGATATGCCCTCCCCTGTCCAGAGGGATTTCTCCTGCCTGTCTTTGCCACCATAACAATGTTCACTTTATTGGAATACCCGAGCAAGCAGAGGGCACTGATCCAGTACAGTTTATTGAATCCAGGCTGGATTTTAACAACTTTTGGGAGGGTTATCTATCACCTCTGTTTGCTGTTAAATAAGCTCATAGGGTTCTTGGCTCAATAAGCATGAGAAATCTATCTGTATTACTACAGACTGTTGACTGATGCTGCCTGGATATGTGGGCAATACTCACCTTTTCATTTCCAATCACAGAAAGTAGTGGATGAGTGTTCTGTGGAATACTTTGTTTTATATGTTTTTTCGTTCTTCATTTTTCATGACACAATCTCAGTCAATGGCTGTTTCCCCACTTTTGACTCTCTTTTTCCCCAGTTCTTGTTCCTATGTGGATTTTGTTTTGTTGGAGACCTGGAGGGTTTTGCTCTCAGCTGGATATCTATTTTTACTGTTCTTTTTCTGTGTTTTGGTTGACTTCTTAGTTTGTGCTACACCTTCACTATGTCCTATGGACACAGACACAAGTACATTCTGATGTGCTACAGTTTGTATGATTGTTAATGCAATCAGTTTGCTCTTTCCTCTCTACATGCTGTGTTATTCAGTTTTCTCGTCTGCTCATGGAACTCTACGACAAGATTCAGAATACTATGTATGGGACCTGATAAGTATAGCTTACCTTCTGTTTCTCTACATAGTCTTCAAGACTTATGCATAGTCGTAAAGCTTTTGATATTGTCTCTTGGATCTTCCATGGCCTTCAGGAACCGATTAAGTGAAGAGCCATTTTTTTATTCACTCTCTAAGTATGCCCCTACAGCTGTGATCTGTCTTCTGGAGACCCATTTAACCAAAGATACCTCTCATTGGCTACGTAAAACTCAATATAAAGATACATTTCATTTGTTTCATACTTCCTACCCAAGGGAGGGATAGTATTCTTGTGCACAAGGTGTTGCCTTTTTCCTGCAGACAGGTCCAACTTTA